CCTGTGCAGAGTAAATGCTTATTGAGTATCAGCATTGGCCCAACTGTTCCCTATCTGGGGATGAGTGGGAACAAAGGGGACAGTTTATCATCAGCCTTTTCCCAGCAGTTGGAGATGGGTCCCAAGGGCTTGGACCAGTGTGTGTGGAGCACGCACCCTGAAGTGGGCTGGCCCCCGGGCAGTTTTATATCAGATTGTCACAATGACCTATTGGGCCGGGAGCTCCCATTAGAAGATGGAGTCACCTACTGAGGTTCGTAGCAGGCGGATTTGACACAAGCCTGGTTATTCTACTTTATAAGCTCGTCAGCTCATCTTTGGAATGCGCCATGGCTGGGAATCCCTGAGTGTAGGGACTCAGCTGATGGGATCCAGGGACCCCAGAGAGCACCCTGCCTTTGGAGGAGACTCCCCCTGCCCACCCCCAACCCAGCCACCTCAGTGCAGATGATGCAAAACACCGACTTTCTTAGTTCACTTTCTTCACCAGCCAGACGAGGGGAAGGAGCATGGGGTGGTGGGGATGGGTTGGGGCCTCCTCCTCTCAGTAACAGAGTTAACCCAACAAATAATCTCGGCAGATTCCAGCTGTCCCGAGCCCAAAGACTTCATTCAGTTTACATATTGGCTTTAGTTTTGGGTCCTTTGCCTCTTGGAATGACCTTCTAAGAGGGTCCTTGTGGCAGTGGTTTGGGGGTAAGACTAGACTGGGTGACTTGGTGCCAGGGCCCCTTTTATTTATCTCAGTCCTTGTCCCTGAAGTGGTTGGGGTGAGTTCAGAACAGCCGGCTTCCTGACAGGGTGAGGAGCAGGGCTGTGGTGCTGTTAACCTTTGAGATGTCTGATGCAGAGGGGAGGACGGGATGGGCAGCCGTTGGTGGCGCCTGAGTCCTGAAGAGGGAGGCTCCTGGACTGGCCTTGGTCAAGGTGTGGTGATGTTTGCCTTCTGGGGTTGCCGGGTGTGAGCCTTGTGTCTACATTTCTGCCCTTGGTTTGTCCCTGGGTAGCATGGAGAGGCCCCTGGGAGGCCGAGTGTCTGCCCAGGTCCCTTCCTGCTTGGCGGCTCCTTGGCCTCTGCTCTGCCTCTGACCTCATGGTCAATTTCCCAAGCTGGAGGCCAGAAATGGTACCACTGAGGCCCTGAAGTTGACCTTTCTGCCTCCCTTTACTTCTTCCTCATTACCTTGCACCTTCAAATGAGGTCTTTGGAAAGGGGAAAATTCCTCATTTACTCAAAATGTGGCCTTTGAGGTTTGGTCACCCTGTGCCACTGAGATGCAGGGTGTGAGAGTCCTGTAGTTACCAAAGTCCTAGAAGGAGCCAGGCATTCCCTGGTAAGTGGGCTTTCTTATGCAAGTGCAGGCCTGGCCCTTTCCTTAAAGGGAAGAGTTTTTGCTTTAAGGAAAAAAACGAGGAAGGGGAGGGGGAAACACCTCAATGGAATTTTAGGCAGATTCAGCAATTTTCTGGTGTTGCTCCAAAAATTCCCCCAACTGTAATAAAAAGAAAAAATTGTGAGCAGGCATCTGATTAGTGAGCTTTTTACAACACAGCTTTTCTTTTGGATGCTTTAAAATGAACACATACAGTTTTAAAACAAGCCCCTGTACAGTTTTCTGGGGAGGGGAGAAGTTGAAAATACCGGAAAAGGTCATAAAGCCGGGGAGATTAACGAGGGGCTGGCTCTTGCCTTGGGAGGCGAAGGGCTGCAGAGAGGATACGAGGCCAGGGTTGGGCTTCCAAGGCTAGTCTTCCTTAGTCCTTGTGATGACCGTGACTTCTTAGGCCCTGTCAAGGTCCTGGGAAGCCCCAGGAGCCAAGTGTCTAGCCTGACCTTTGTCAGGGAGACTCTTGTGGGCTGTGGGCCCAATTCAGGGAACTGGTCTATGAAGATGATGCCGGGTGATTCCCAGAAATGAGTCCAAAAGCTGGGGAATTCAGGGCAGAGGGGGAGGGGATGTCTGCCCTGGCAGGGTGGGGTGGAGTGCCAGGTCCCCAGAAGGTGTGATGTAAGCCTGAGGGTATGTGCCTTCCCTGAATGAATGGGTTTGCTGAAGAGCAGACTTGTGCTCAGAAATGCTGTGGGCAGAAGGGCCTAGAGCTTCCCTCTTGGGGGGGGGGGGAGTCTGCTGGAGGACAGTGAGAGGACAAGGAGGAAGGGAAGAGCAAGCAACGGTCTCCCTGCAGCAGGTTGGTGCACCAAGCCAATTTTCAAGGGCCTTGTTTCCCATCCAGGGACACCCACATGCTGCCGTTCATCCTGGTTGGGCCATTAACCTTAACAGAAAAAGGCCTTTTCCAGGGGACGTCTGGAGCAAAGTGCTGGGTAGACTGGCCTCACAGATGAAAGAGAAACCTGGGCACGCTTCCCCTCCCCCTCCCCCTCCCCCTCCCCCTGCAGCCTCAGGCCCCAGCCTCACCCAGCTTCCTCTGCCCCCAGAAGCCTGCCTGGCAGAGGGGCCCAGCCCTTGCCCTTGTCGACTTCGCCCTGGTATGGGGGGGGCCAACTTGATTCTGGGCCCCTGCCTCACCCCTCATCCCCTTCTCTTTGCTCACCCAGGCCAGATTTCGGGGGTGGGCGCAGGCGCAGGAAACAAAGCACCCTGAGGCTCCCCAGGGTCTCTGGGACCTAGCCCTGCTCCCCTTCCTGGCTGCGTTGGCCTGGAGTCCGGGTGGGATGAGCCAGTGTTTCAAAACACCCTCTCCCCAAAGGGACCTTCCGTGCCTCCAGAGGAGGCTTCGCCTTCCGGGCGCGCTTGCGTGCCAGCAGCATTCTTCTTTCCGTGGATGTTTTGGGTCTTTGGTGTAGCCTTCCTCCGTTCACAGATTGCCAGCACTCACGCGTTTATTAGCAGTTGATGGATACTTTGCAGAAACTAGTTCATGTCTGATGAGTCACCTTCTGCCCGGAGCCCTTGTCCCTCTCCTTTTTCCATATGTTCCAGTGTGTGTGTGTGTGTGTGTGTGTGTGTGTGTGTGTGTGTGTGCGCGCGCGTGCACGCACTCACAAAACACACTCACACCCGTGCACTCAAGCACACAGTCTCTCACACACACGGACTGTATAGATACATGGCAGTGGGTGGGTGGGGAGCAGTGACAGCCCCATTTCATGGTGGTGGTTTTCGGTGGGGTGGAGAGAGGCAGGAGCCCTCAGCTTCCCCTTTTTATGTAGCCATCTGGGCAGGCACCAGGAAGGTCATTTGGGGAGTCTGTAGGGCACAGCCACTCAGGGTGTGTGTTTATGGCTGCCTCAGTGAGTTGTACTGTGCACATTTGTACAGACTTACTCACGGGACACCGCCGTCCAAGACTGGCTGCTGCTTAAAAAAAAAAAAAAAGGCACGGGGCTGAGTGGCTCCCAGGTCCTGACTTGCCTGCAGAGTCGGAGTGGATTGGTGTGCCGAGCTGCCCTGGGTTTCCCAGCCTACCCGGGTGGCAGGACAGGGGTCCTGGTCCTTGTCCACTTCCTGCCCTGGATGGGACAGCCCCCATTATGGCTCTCTGAGCCCAGCTGCTCAGAAACACAAAGGCCACAGCAGGCCCCTCTCACTCACACTCCCCCTACCTTGGGGGCCCCCTAACCTCCAGCTCTGGGCTGGCTTTTGCCTCTCAGGCCCCCACCTCCCTTTGCCTTTCCCCATTTTTGTTAACAAATACAAGACTTCCGGTCTCCACCCTGCCACCACAAACCACAGCGTTCCTGCAGCCTGGCTGGGCTGGGGGTTTATGGCCCCAGTCTGAGGCCTGCCCAGTGCTGGCTTGAGCTGAAGGAGGCAGCGGGATGCCAGCGTGGGGGGGGGTCCTTTCCCTGCATATGACCCCCCACTTTGAAGTCCTCGGAGCTTCTGCTTAGGAAGTCGCCTCACCAGCCTCACCCCAGGCTCTTAGGCTGCTCTTAGGCAGAGCCCAGGGGAGGCCAGCCAGGGTGGGCTTGCAGAGAAGGGCGCCCGGAGGAACCTGGGCGTCTCAGTTGCAGGCCGGGTCGACCTGGGAAGGCAGAGGGGACACTTCAAAGATGGTCACATTCATTTTAGAATCTCCTAACAGGGCTAGAGGAGGCCTTGTCAAGGCAGTCTGGGTTCACACCCATTGTCCCTTGTGATTGGCTTTTTTTTTAAACCTTTGTTACCTTGCTGCTAACATACTGAGAGCACTTTTCCTATTGAGAAGATAGATGTTTGGGGCTGGGATTGTGGCTCAGTGGTAGAGCGCTTGCCCTGCATGTGTGTGGCACTGGGTTCGATCCTCAGCACCACATAAAAGGAAATAAATAAAATACAGATATTGTGTCCAACTACAACTAAAACAAATTAAAAAAAAAAAGATTTTATTTTCTCCCCAAACCGCCCTCGTTTTTATTTTACTAGATTGGCGTCTTTTATGACCAAGGAGAGGTGGTGACGAGCACAGAGATGGTCCTAGGGACTGGGCTTGACCTAGCCGTCCGTCCAGATTCCTGTTTGCTCTTACGAGAGAAAGGGGTCTGGCTGGAGGAGCGACCTTCGAGGTTCCATCCTGTTGAAAGATAATTCTAGGCCATCTCAGGTCTTTTCTAGCACAGAAAGTGAGGGCAGTGTTACCAAGGGGTCCCTGGCCTCTGGGCAGTGCCAGGGTGCAGATGTGGCCAGGTGGGCCCAGGTGATGGTGTCCTGGTTTCCTGACAGCACGGGGAAGTGGAGGGCGTGAGCGCCCCAGTGAGTCACGCGCTTAAGGAAGGCAGGGCTCTTTCCCCGCTGGGTCAAGATGTCTGCTCCCTCTAGTTAGGAGGGACTGGGATCGTTGGGAGTTTGTTTGTTTGTTTTTAGTAGGACAGGTGTGGCTGGCAGGACACCCCTGTTGCAGAGAGTCCAGGACCGTAGCACCCTCCTCCTSTCTTGTACTGAGAGATAAACTAGTTATGGGTGGGTGTCTGTCTGTCTGTCTTGATTCTAGGAGGAAAAGGAAACAGCCAGCCAATCTCCATCCCCACCAACCTTGTCCGCTATTTTGTTTTGCAGATTCCCAACTTCTTCTGGAGCCTGGGGATCGGTCACACTGGTGCGTGGTGGCATACTGGGAGGAGAAGACGAGAGTGGGGAGGCTCTACTGTGTCCAGGAGCCTTCCCTGGATATCTTCTATGATCTACCTCAGGGGAATGGCTTTTGCCTTGGACAGCTCAATTCGGACAACAAGAGTCAGCTGGTGCAGAAGGTGCGGAGCAAGATCGGCTGCGGCATCCAGCTGACTCGGGAAGTGGACGGTGTGTGGGTGTACAACCGCAGCAGTTACCCCATCTTCATCAAGTCCGCCACACTGGACAACCCAGACTCCAGGACGCTGCTGGTGCACAAGGTGTTCCCCGGATTCTCCATCAAGGCTTTCGAYTACGAGAAGGCGTACAGCCTGCAGCGGCCCAACGACCACGAGTTCATGCAGCAGCCGTGGACGGGCTTCACCGTGCAGATCAGCTTCGTGAAGGGCTGGGGCCAGTGCTACACCCGCCAGTTCATCAGCAGCTGCCCATGCTGGCTAGAGGTCATCTTCAACAGCCGGTAGCCGCTGGGGAGAGGACAGAGGTGGAGGTGGGGAGAGGACGCAGGCCACCATTCAAAACTACTTTGCTGCTAATCTTTTCCTCCCGAGTGCTTGCTCTTCATGCAAACTCTTTGGTCGTTTCTTTTTGTTGTTCTTGTTGTTTTTTTTCTTTTTTGTTGTTGTTCTTGTCGATCTTGTTTGTGTTCTCTTTTGTTTTGTTCTTTGAGAAATAGCTTATGAAAAGAATTGTTGGGGTTTTTTTTGTTTTTTTTTTTTTTTTGGAGGGGGTGGGTGTGGCTGGCAGGACATCCCTATCGGAAGAGGGGAAGCGAAAGTCGGAGTCCCGCCAAACACAGCGTATGAATGGGGGGCGCCCCTCCACTTTTGGATCAGCATTTCATTTGTCGTGAGTGTGTGCGTTTGTGTGAGTGTGTGTGCACGCGTGCGTGCGTGCGTGCCTATGTGTGTGCATGAATGCGTGTGAACAGATGAGGAGTGAGTCCTCCGTGAGTTCCTTATGGATGTCCCCGGTGGAGACGTTTGCGGTTTCAAGCTGTGTGTGTCTCATGCCCTTTGGACATGCTCAGTGGGACAGAGGCTCTACCTGGCCAGGCTGGGGGCAGAGGCCCAGCAGCTGCCAGAAGCGAGGTTCTGCCCAGCCTGGGAAGCCCCCTCCCCTCCTCCCTCTTTTAGGACACGGGCCTATCCACAGGCTTCTGAGAAGCCAGCCTGCTAGAGGCTGAACCAGAACCAATTGCTTTCACCTTGTCCCGCTCCCCTCCGCCAGCCTGCTGCCACTGTAGCATCTGTCTGTTTGGCCATCTGCTCCTGGCTCTCTCTGAGATGGGCTTCCTGAGGGCTGCTGGGGCAGTACTGCTCACCTGGGGCCCCCGGGGCCCTCCGGCCTCTCCCCCTGCCCTGATTCCATCAGGTTTCTCCCAGGCTTCAAAGCCAGCTCAGCTCGCCCCTCCCCTCCCCAGCTTTGTGTTGAGCTCTGCTGTTAGGCCAGCACCGGGGAGGGACCTGCTCCTGGCCCCCTTCCCTCCAAGAAGGATCTGGTCCATCCTAACCCAAGGTACCACCCTAGCTGACACCTAACCTCCTCTCCTCCTTCTACAACTCATACGCTCGTATGATACTTTGACACTGTTCTTAGCTCAATGAGCATGTTTAGACTTTAACATAAGCTATTTTTCTAACTACAAAGGTTTAAATGAACAAGAGAAGCATTCTCATTGGAAATTTAGCATTGTAGTGCTTTGAGAGAGAAAGGACTCCTGGAAAAAAGAAACCTGAGATTTATTAAAGAAAAAAAATGTATTTTATGTTATATATAAATATATTATTACTTGTAAATATAAAGACGTTTTATAAGCATCATTATTTATGTATTGTGCAATGTGTATAAACAAGAAAAATAAAGAAAAGATGCACTTTGCTTTAATATAAATGCAAATAACAAATGCCAAATTAAAAACGATAAACACAAGATTGGTGTTTTTTCTATGGGTGTTATCACCTAGCTGAATGTTTTTCTAAAGGAGTTTATGTTCCATTAAACAATTTTTAAAATGTATGTTTGATTCTATGTCCTAGCTCCTTTTGTTTTTCTGCTTGAGGGGAGGGAGGAGGTTTAGTGCTCAGTCAAGTTGATGGGGGGAGGGGGATGTCTGAGAGGTATCTGGCTCCTCCCTGATGCCAGAGAGATCCTCAGTGACCCAGACACCCTCTTCTTATTAGGCCGTGACACGGGGCAAAGCTCGCCCTGTGTCCTTAATTTGTAAGGGGAGACTAACTAAAGGAGCCCTGTGATCTCTCAGGGCTTATGGAATTGAGAAAGAGGGATGTCACTGGAAAGAGGTGGTCGGGGATGGATGAGGACAGCCCGAGGACCAGGGCCCCTGGATTCTGGCTGACTTCCTCACTTGACTGTAAATCCTGAGCCTGCTGCACCTTTCCCAGAGGAGGGGGGTTTTGCCAGATAGGTGTCCTGCCGCTGAGACCTTGGAGGGGTGAGGAGGGGTGGAGGGACGAGGGTCACAGAAGCTAGGCCGCCTCCTAGGTCACGTACCGGGCATTCTGAGTTCAAGTCCAATCTACATCTCCCTCTCTGCTTGAACTTCAGTGGCACGTCACTAGTCCCTTCATTGAGCCCAGCCTTAGGGGGCCCTTGCTTGTCCAGGTGCCCCCTTGGTACTGTTCCTGCACAACCTGGGATTTCTGCCATTTGATCTGAGCTGGGCTTCAGATCCAGGGAATCTCGTACCAGAAATGGGTCAACCGAGGGCTCTGCAGGTGTCTATGTCAGGGGATCTTGAACCCTAGGGGAAGGAGGGAGTCCCTTTGAAGTAGGGGTGAAGATGTCAGATACCAGCAGCATAGTGGTGCACACCTGTAATCTCAGCGGCTCAGGAGGCTGAGGCAGGAGGATCGCAAGTTCAAAGCCAGCCTCAGGAACTTACACCCTGTCTCAAAAAGGCTGGAGATGTGGCCCAATGGTTCAATCCCCGGTATGAAACAACAACAACAAAAACCAGATACCATAAACCAGAACAGTTCCAAAACCCTTTCTGGAAGGCCAGTGTAGAGCTGCCAACTTTTTGTTTTGCCAAATAGTGATACAAAGCACTATAACCTACTGGCACCATGGTTTCATTCAAGGGAATTATAATGCAATTGTGTAGCAAGAAATATGAATGTGTTGATTTATGCTCCAGACCAAAGGCCAAATGGCCATTTGGGCGGCCAGCTTATTCACATGGGATGATGAGGAACTCACTACCTCTCAAAGCAGCTTTTTGTCCGTTGAACTGGAACTGCCTCCATGTATTCCAGCTCCATAACCCAGTGTCAGTATAAAATCTCCTCTCTGGAAAACACCCAAGGAAGGTTCTAATGAACTCCAGGGTGGTAGTGGTGGGGAAGGAGGGGGTGAAAGGTCAACCTCAGGGAGCTGTCGAAGCCCTTGCAGTTTGCACTGACTTGCATTGGCATGCCAGAAAGTTCTTCAATGATAATAGTTACCATGTATTGATTGTCCCCCTCGGTTCCAGCATGAAGTAACCATTTGGGAGAATCACCATTTGATCCTTTCTCAAAAATGGAGGTTTTGCAGCATTAAAAGAGAATAAAATCATGGCATTCACAGGTAAATGGATGGAGTTGGAGAACATCATGCTAAGTGAAACAAGCCAATCTCAAGAAACCAGGGGCCTGGGCTGGGGATGTGGCTCAAGTGGTAGCGCGCTCGCCTGGCATGCGTGCGGCCCGGGTTCGATCCTCAGCACCAAATACAAATAAAGATGTTGTGTCTGCCAAAAACTAAAAAATAAATATTAAAAAATTCTCTCACTCTCTCTTTAAAAAAAAAAAAAAAAGAAAAGAAACCAGGGGCCTAATGTTTTCTCTGATAATCTATATGGGGAGGCACGGGATAAGTGGAGGAATTTTGGATGAGGCAAAGGAGAGCAGGGAGGGGGCAAAAGGGTAGGAAAGACGGTGGAATGAGACAGACGTTATTCTAGGTACATGTATGATTGCATGAATGGTGTGACCCTACTTCATGCACAATCAGGAAGTGAAAAATTCTGCTCCATTTGTGTACAATGAATCGAAGAGCTTTTTCCTATCATGTATAACAGACTAGAATTAATAAATGAATAAATGTTGGAGGTTTTGAAAGGCCAAATGACTTCCCCGAAGTCACACAACCAGGAAGGAAGTGGTAAGAGATCAGGAACGCCCTCCAGCACCAGTGTCTGGTGGAATCCCTGTGACCCTCATGGTAGGACCTTGTAATCCGGAGAAGGCAGGCGCCTCTCTTCCCCCAGCTCCACCACTAGAGCAGGGTCTCTCGATTTGGGAGGAACAAACCGTGGGCTCTAGAAGGAGGCTTGAATTGGGGTGTGGGCATTTGGATGCTGATGGGGTGACTGACTCTGGGTGGGTGGGTGGGGACAGAGGGAGGCTCAAGAGAAGTCTGGCATTTGCTGGAAGCCAACAGTTTTCTTGCCAGAGAGGCCATCTACTAAGTTATCTCCTGAGAGCCCTCCATGTTCCCAAGACTGGTGACCTTTGTGTCCAGCATCCCCCAAGGGCATGGCCTSGGTCTGTGCTGCCCCTGAGGGAGGGAGAGGCAGAATCCTGGCTGGTAAGTATCCTAGTCAGATTTCATCGCCTCTATGCCATCTAACCCCTCTGGAGAGGTCAAGGTCAAGGGGTCTCTGACTCTGTTATACATTTTCCTGAACAAGTACTGGTTTGGAAGGACCAAGCTGAGCTGAGTGTTGGCAACAGAAGCACACTCCATTTGTGTGTATGCTTTTACGCACCGGGAGCCTTCCCCTTGTCCTGTCCCGCCTGCAGGGATGACCCTACCTGACCACCCTACACAGCCCAGTGGCTGGATTTATACCCCAAACCAAGAAGTCTGTTAAGCCCCAGACTCAGCCCACAAAGGAGGCTGGTGGCAGCCTGTGTTCCCCATGCCACATTGCCAAGAAGGCACAACGGGCCGTGTCCGCGGCAGGTGTGCAGGGTGCAGATGTCGGGGAGCCAGACAAGAAACAGCATGTGGCTCACTGACACGGTTTTGGAGAAAAAGTCAACCTGAGTTTGGGTGCTCCCTTGGACAAGCCACTTCTTTCTCTGAACCTCAATTTCTGAAACAAAATGGGCATTATAGCTGCTCCAGGGGACTGAGATGGGAATTATTGAGCAAATATTTGTGAAGAGCAGGCATGTGATAATGGGTGGAAACGGGATGGCTAGTAGCTGACCATTTGATATGACAATTTCATATCGTTAAATCGATTAACTGCTGTAATCCCAAAGAGTCAAGACGAGGGGTCCCCGACCTTCCTTCTTCCAGAGATGCAGGCAGGACTGACAGTGGCCTCCCTCAGGGTGGTGTGACGTGCCGCAAGTGGGGCAGAGAGATGACAGTCGGCAGCGAGGGGTGGTCAATATTGGGGTGACCTCTTTCTGCTCAGGATGTCAGCACAGTGCTGAGCTGAAGCTAGGCCAGGAAGCAAAGGCCAGCAGCAGCCAGGCCTGGGAAGCTGAAGCTGGGGTGCCCTGTCCTGGGGGGGAGCGGGTGTGGAAGAGGCCGTGCCTTCCCCGCTGAGCTGGGAGCAGCCTGCACAGTCCCTGGTTTCCCGTGCTCCAGCAACAGCCCAGGCTGCCAGCTCAGCACTTTTCCCCAGCCAGAAGCGCCCCCCTCTCTTTCTGAAAGTAATGATTTTCTAAAAATGGATTCCCTCCCCACCCCTCCCCCAGCTGCAATTAATCTACTGAACACAAAGTGGCCGCTGGAGGAGGCCCCCAGTGGGTTCAGACCAGTGCAAGCTCTTTGATTAATTCAGGGACAATTTACTGTCTGGGGCTGGGGCCGGGGCTGGGGCTGAAGGTGGGCAGGGCGTGCTGCCTGTGTGGGGGCCAGGCTGGGCTCACTCTGGAGTCTGCGGAGGGCCTGTCAGAGACCTAAGAGAGCTGGAAGCTTCTTTCTAGGGGGTCTGTGCCAGATTTAGGGGCGGGGGGCTCCTCCCCAGCTCCAAGGCCCTCTCATGGACACACATGCCCAGGGCCAGGAGAAGCTGAAGACAGAGCTTGGGGCTGCTGGTTTAGTAGAAGCTTGGCAGGGGCAGATCCCAGACTCTTAGAATACACGTTGCTTTTCCTCGGTGTTGCACTGAGCAGTGGCCCCAGGCCTGGGCAGTGAGTCTTCTGTGGACACTGGTAGGAAGTATGGGCAGAGCCCAACTGAACACTCGGATCTGAACCATCCCGCAGAAAGAACCCCAGCTCTCCCTCTGTACCGCGCCAGATTTCTCTCCACGGCACTGTTGGGACATCAGGCATATTGTATCGTAAACATGCTGGACATTTTATCATGTATCTGTTGGTTTGGCTACTACTTCCAGATTTCCCTAGCAAAGTGGAAGCTCTGTGACAGCAGGGACTTTGCTCCAGCCACTGCCAGATCCCCAATATCTGGAATGATGCCCAACACATAGTAGGCACTCCACAGATTGTCCTTGGACAAACCCGTATTGAATGATTACTTAACTTTCCAGCAAAAACAGGCATTCGAGTTCTAGGTGAACTTCACTTTTCCCCAAGAAAACTGGATGCCTACCTACTTTATGACACTTAGGAAAACAAAGAGCTCATTCGTGTTATTTCTTACCCCCCAAAAAAGTGAATGCAAAACTCTTCCCGGGGTAGTAACAACAATGACAGCCACCGCACAGCCATTCTGACGGCAGCCTGTGTTTACTGAGGGCCGTGTGTGTGGC